GTGCTGCAGAAGCACAAGGCACATTATCTAGTGCTGTGTCTCCACGTGGGGAGACCAATCAGTCCCAGGTCCTGTGGCAGGGTTTTGAAAAACAGTAATGGATTTTTTTTTTGTAAAAAGAAACCTACACTTTCTCCTGCACGTGGGAGTGTTCTTTAGGGCCTCTGCCTGGTCCTGTTGAAGACATGAGGAACATTATTCCAACTCCAACAGGATTTGATTAAGGTTCTTCTCAATCAGCTCAGGTGGAGGGTGGACATCCTCAGAGGTGGAGTTCCAGCTACATCACAGAATCATGGGGGTTGGAAGGGATCTTCAGAGGTCATCCAATCCAACCCCCTTGCTAAAGCAGTTCCTGGGGCAGACTACACATCCTAAAGTTGCCTCCATTTCAGAGCCTTATAACGTAGATATAGGGACACAGAGTGACAGCATGGACCAGCATCACGTTGGGAACAGCCTGATCGAGACAAGACCTCACCTGCTTTGCCTTCACCCTTTCTCCCTGTCCATTGGCAGCCACCTGCGGGGGAATTTGTCCCTCCATTCTGAGTATTATGGGATGTCAGAGCACTCCCACCCCGCTATCCTGTTTGGCCGGGCAGGCTGGCCTGCAGCACTGCGGAGATAACACAGCTGTCTGCACTGAAGTGAAAAAGGGGCACTTAAATGATTCATTAGCCGGACTCCCCAGCATGGTGGTAACTCCCAATAGGAGGAGCAGAAACTTTTAAAATAGCTCCCTTGAAATCCTAGAAGAGGGAATGTTTTTAAGGCGGCGTTTTGGAGACCTCTGCGAGTGTATCAGTCTGTAGGTGGAAGGCTTGACCATACTGAAGTGAATGCCTGCAGCATGTCTTAATTAATTTTACATCTGCACATGAAGTTAATCAGGCTTTCTGTAGGGATGCCAGAGGTTCTTGTGGTAGCTATTCAAAGTTTTCCCTCATTGCCCTTCAGTGTTGATCTATGGGAGGACCATGCCACACTCCTCTGCTTGGCTGCTATACCCGTAGCTGGTGCTGTCCTTTGGAAGGAACAAAGGTCAGCTGAGAAGCATGACTATCAGCAGTTGTTTAACTTTTTAGAAATTATTTTTATTTTTTGATGTATGTATAAGTCCATGCCAAAAACTGGCTAAAAAAATTAATACAGCCCTTCTGCAATTCTCCTGTTACCCCTAAATCAGCTTCATTTAGTGCTAATCCTTCTCTTTGCTCCCCCCAAGTCATTTTTATTCTAATGCTGCAATAAATATTAATACCTTTCCCAGATGCAACCACTTAAAAATATATATGTATATCTAACGACCTAGCAAATACTTGATGTGAGTGCCCAGCTGCAGCTAAAATTCGACTGGAAAAACTCTGAAAGGAGAAATATAAATACAGCACATCCAGTGATATGCTAAAGAAACCGTGGATATGTTGGCACTGCGATGGATGGATTCTGCTCCAGTGCTGCAACCTCAGAGCTGAGGCAGCACTTTGAAAAGTGAGGTGAGGGATTACTGATGCCCACCTTGTGATATCTTAGAGGTGCACAGTTTTCAGCAGCTTGAGGGGCTCGAGGACTCCACTAAACCAGGCGTCTTGTACTTGCTGCATGTGGAAATTGCTCCTGGTTACAGATCCTGGCTGAGCACTTCGATGCTGAATATTTGTCCCCCAGCCACTGGGGAGGGCTGTGATGCTCCACTCCTCCTCCGAGGCATCCAGCTCTTGGAGAAGGAGAGTTCTGTTTTCTGTGCAGTTTTAATGGTCAGTACAACGAGTGGGATGAATCAGTGCGGATCTAATTGAAATGCAAGTTAATTTCCACATATGCCTCTGATTTACGCTGGCTGGGCATCCACACCCAAACTTCTGGAGATATTTAACAGAAAAATATGAATTTCATTAATTGCCACATGATGTTACGGAGTTCAGTCCCGGGTGCTGTTAAACGCAGATTAGCGTAGAATTTTTACCTCTTGTGCCTCTGCTGTGGGGTTTGGAGCAGCACACGATGCTGTGGGACTCAGCTCTTCCCAGGGCAGCTCTGCTGACACGGCGAGCTCTGCTGGATTTGTCTGTGCTCTGATCTTTGTCCCTTAGTTTGCCTCGTTCCTCTGATCTGAAAGGCATGCAAGAATTTTTTTAAAAAATTACAAAGCAAACAGAATGCTTCCCAAATTAATTTGATCTTTTATTTTTCCTTGAAAGCAACGACAAGCCATGAATCTTGCGGGTTTTTGTTTGCATTTTTTCTCCCAAACAAGCAGATATCCATGGGCTCACTGAGTTCCGTGCAGAAGTTGCTTGCCTTGGTTTCATTACACAGTTTGGCGGCGTTCTGTAGTTTCTCCCTGCACAGCCAGATCTCAGCAACACAAGCAGTTTATGTATCTGCAAATATTTTTTGATATCTGTAAGAAGAGGGCAGGATAACAAGGAGTTTGTGAGCAACATCTCTGGCTGGAATTCTCCTGCGAATGTCTGAGTGTGCCAGTATGCATAACATTGTTCCTTGTGAAAATGTTCTTACAGATAAAATCTTGCTTACCGATCATTCAAATAAAAGAGGTCACAGTTTTAGCGTGAGGAGTCGATACAAACTTGTTTGATAGAATACATGCAGCGTGCTCCCAAGGCATGGAGATCTGTGTGACTTCAGCTCAGAGTGTGAGTGACCAGAGCTGGGATCCCAGAGCTGCCCAAGGGAACTTGGACCCAGCTCCCATTGCTCCTGGATCCCGATGGGGAACTTGGACTCCCAACAGCTGGATCCCAATGGGATCAGTGGGGACATCTGGATCCCAATGGGATCAGTTGGGATGTTGGGCTCCAAACACTTGGATCCCAATGGGATCAGTGGGGATGTTGGGCTCCCAACACCTGGATCCCAATGGGATCAGTGGGGACATCTGGATCCCAATGAGATCAGTTGGGATGTTGGGCTCCAAACACTTGGATCCCAATGGGATCAGTGAGGATGTTGGGCTCCCAACACCTGGATCCCAATGGGGTCAGAGGGGACATCTGGATCCCAGTGAGATCAGTTGGGATGTTGGGCTCCCAACGCCTGGATCCCAATGGGATCAGTGAGGATGCTGGGCTCCCATCGCAGCCCATGCACTCAGAGCTGCTAAGTCGTAACCAAGAAAGGATAATGGAGAACAAAAATACTGGTCTGCAAAATGCACTCACACAGCAAATAAACATTTTAGATATGTTTAAAGTGTTTGTGACAGATTTAAGGCAAACAAATGCTCGCTAGAAGGATGTATTTTGTGACAGTCATTGTATGTGACGTTCCCTGGGTCGTTTTCGTGGGTTTGGTTGTAGGGAGGTCCGTGAAGGGTTTTGTTTGTTCAAGCCACATTTAAATGGATCAGATCCTTCGGTATTTCTTTGTATTTTGGGGGCAGATGGAAGAGAAATACCGCACCGTAAGTGATGCAAAGAAATAGCAATAACAAGGAGAAGTGAATTTCTGCTTTTTTGTGTGTTGCATTAGGACTATTTTGGCAGTTGTTGTTGGTAAACCCTAGGAAATATACATCTTTCTCCTTTAAAGTTCTAATTCAAGGCATGAATGTGTGAGTTCTGAAGGGACTTAGGGACTGCGGTAAAAAATCGTTGTCATAGTAACAGAAAGGGAAATAGGCCTGGCTCACCTGGGACTTTAACTTACTGCAAAAGCTGATTTTTTTTTTTCTTTTTTTTTTTTTTTTTAAGAAAAGCACTCAGTAAGAGAAATAAATAAATAAGTTCTTTGTATTCTGAACCAATTCTTCAACTGTATCTTTTTTTTTTTTCCCTCATATCTGTATCTTTTCTGTTCAAACCTATCTTAAAATCTCTGTTTTTTTTTCTTAATTGTTGCTGTTAAACCCATTTTGTTCTACAAATGGAAATGCAGAAAGGAGTCACAGAAAATATTTTTGCTTACGGTAGAGTGAAGAATCTGTGAGATTTTTTTGCCTGTTTTGTCTGAATTGTGAAGACTTGCGTGTTTTAAATCCAACAACTGTGATCTTTCTTGTGGAATTGGCTTCTTTACCTCGGAAATTCGAAATGTGATCAGATGAATCCGATAATAAAGGGATGAATCCTAGTGAAAAATTTTTGTGGAGCACCCAAATTTGATAAGTGCCTCCTAATATTGCTGAAATGTGAGATCTGTGTGTTCTAACACATGGTGCTGGGTGAGCCCATCAGCATCCTGAAGGTTCAACTTACATCCACAACAAGCTGAACTCGATGGGAGAATAATGTATAAAGATAGATATATGTGACAGGGCAAAAATAATTGTCACGGACACACTGTATGATGTTAATGGGTTTATCTGCTTGGACAGCGTGAGCTGTCACCTATTACTTCCATTTGTGCTTTTGTTATCCTCTCTCAAAATCAGTGTAAGATTCCAATCTGGGCTCTTTTTTTTTTTTTTTTTTTTTTGCTTTAGTTACCGAAATCTTAACAGCTAAAAACATCATCAGGATGAAATCTCATCAGCTTCTTCTGGGAGCTCTGTTTGTCTCCACGTTTTTTTATACGTTCTAAGTAGTCTCAAGGCTTATCAGCCGCAGAGTTGCCCTGTCGGTTTTTGTCGTTATCACAATAACATCATCCTTCTATATTGTTTCATGGAAAATCCATCCAGACAGCGAAAGAAAGCCCTTGTATGCACAGGACAGATAAAGGAACAGATTCAAATCGTGTGGTCAAATGTGCAGTGGAGAAATGGGCATAAATCAAAGTAGTTGCGTTGACTTATATCAACTAGCAGCCCATCTCAGAGCTGATTATAGTCACGTTGAGTGCAGTTCACACAGTTTTTCTAAATTTTGGTGTGTTTGTTTGTTGGGGTTGGCTGTGTGGGGTATTTTTCTGGGTTCTCCCAGTCCTGGATGGCTGACATACCTCCATGTAGATCACTCCGTGTATTTCAGTCAGAACACGACAGCGCGTTTCGTTATGGTTAATAACAGTGGCACAATTCTTTGCCGTTACAGATTCTTCTTAAAATTTTTTCTCAAGTGCAATCAGAATTGTTTGAAAACAGCAGGAAACCCCCGAGATATGAGGCGGTTCCAGGTAAGGCTCAGCATTAAGCTGTCTCTTTCGTTCTCTTCTTCTCCTCTCCCCTACGTTGCTCGTAATAAATATGATGACGGTCTATGATAAGCCATATCGGATATTGTTAAAGTTTTTCTCCATTTGTTGTGGTTAAACCTTTTTTTTTCCCTCTCCTCTCTCTTTTCCCACTCCGAATCCCCAAGGGGAAGTGATGTACTGTACCAACCAGCAGTGGATATTTGATTTGACACCCTCGGGCAAAGCACTCTCACGTACAGCTGCCCACAGCAGGGATCGTGTTTGTGATACTTAGATGCCTCAGAATTTTTCAAAGTAGCTCTGTACGTGGTACAGAAGCATCTCCCTATTTCCCTCCACTCTCTCTTCCCTTCTCTTCTGCCTTTTAACTCTTTCAGGCCCTCCTTTTGGCTTCTTAAAAAAATAATAATAATAAATAGCCCCGAATAGTGATGGTCACTTTAAGATCTCACGCAGGAAAGCAACAAGACCCAGGGGACGATGACCCAGCTGCTTTGCAGTAAAATCTGCCACTGGTTTCATCATAGCTGTCGCTGATGTATTGTGAACACCAGCTAATAAAAACACAGAAGGAGGTGAAGTGTGTCAGGTTAGAAGCGGAGAAGGGAAAGGCTGATGCAGTCCCTCTTCTTCCACACTCTAATCTTTAAGCAGCTACGTCTAACAGTTCAGTATTTTACCTGTAAGAGGGTAAAATGGTTTTACTACTTGTTGCCATTTTTATCGTGCCCTCATTGCTACCCATCCGTGACACAAAGGGGATTTTAGCTGTAGGGGGATGCATGGCTTTCCTGTAGACCCATCAGGTCTGTGGAGGGCAGTGACATCCTGAGGTCTGCCAGCTCATGGTTGGTTATTGGGCTCTTGCCTCAGTTTCCTCATTTAGAAACCAAGTAAAACTCCACAGGAATTTACAGCCCCGTGTCAAACTTTCCACTAAATGATGCATTTTGGTTTATATTTTTAGTGGGAATACAGTTAAGAGGGATGTTTTTTCTCAAAGAAAAAGAAAAAGCTCGGGTTGATGAAAACAAAAATCCACTCTGGTATCTCTGAAAGCTCTAAAAATTTTAGGGAAGTGTTGGTTAAAGATATGAAAATGGTTATTTTTTTGGTTTCCAGTGGAAATAAATAAAAAATAGTCCAACCCAACTTTTGTTTTTTGGCACCAGTGGTTTGATGCCAGTAGTTTCTCCTTGTGTTTTTTGGAGATGATGAGACATCAAAAAATTTAATAATAATGATTTAAAAAAATAGAGGTGGCAATTGTTAGCAAATTGCACTGGTTTTTATTTCAATCGGTAACTTCCATCAAAAAGAAATGCCATTATCATCTCCCATGAACGCCAAAAAAAATGGGAGTAAAGGAAAACTCAAATGATTGCATGAGAACTGATCTTGTTGGCTGTTAGGGCTGTTAGGATGGCTGAGGGCGCAGTGTAATGGAGCATGAATCCAGAGACTCTTCATTTGGTTTTGAGTTTGTAGGGAATTGTGCACAAGGGCATCCTGGTTAGCGTTGCCATAATACCAACAATAGAGTTACAAGAGCAAAAAAAAATGAACTCTACATTGTGATTGAAGCTAAAATTGTAGATTTCAGGTGAATGCTGAATTGCGTGAGGATTTTGGATTCTTTTTATTTTTATTTTTTTTTTGGTGGAGATCTCGCTCTACTCTCAGCTTTGCTCTTTGTTTCACCTCCACATCTCCATGGCAAATAACTATTTTATTAAGAATCTCAAGAGCTTCACCTTTTTAGTAGGACACTGAAAAGTGAAACTAAAACGAGCTTTACAGCACACACGTGTTACCAATGGAATGCCTTCAGCCCATCCACCTGGCATTCCTCTTGTACATGAGGAAGCATTGGCTTGCTTTTGATCTTTGTACCAAAATCAGCAGCTTACTGGAGACGAAAGTGAGCTGGGGCAGACTCCTGATCCGGATTTTTGCCTTAAAACAGCCAAGCCTGAAGAAAAGAGCCAAGTAAAACTCTGGTTCTGTTTTGCAGAGATTGCTTAAACTCTTCTTGCACTTGCAGTCAACGTGGATTCATATCCTTTCCAGTTTTGTCGTGAGATTTAAGTTCAAACCTCTACGTTAATCAAGATTAGACAAAGCTTCTACATTCATCTGTCTGTCGAAACACAAAATGTTCACAAGACCTTGTTTGGGTGTTATGAGAATGAGCCCTTTGGAGCAGATTGTCAAATGCTTGAGGTTTTGAGGGAAAGCAGAATCTTTGTTCAGGCACCTTCAGTTGGTTGATGACTTGGTTCTGGGCTGTGGAGCTCTGAATGTGTGAATAAAGTTACAAAATAAAGGTAGTTCCATTGCTAAAATTGTGTGCGTGCAGATTAAAAAGTTCAGTGTTCCAATGGAAATTAGCCAGGATGGATTGCATAGAGAGCTTGTTTTCAGCCTGCTGGATTGCTTCTAAGGGCTGAAGCATGACTTCCACGGTTGTGATGTAAAAAAGAGCACTCTTGAGTGGTCTGCTGTGTCATCAGGATCCTCCTCCAATTTAGTATTATTGTTTTTAATTTAGGCAAACAGTTTTTTGGTTTTTTTTTTGCCTGGTTCTTGCTGTGTGTGGTCTGTCAGCTACCCTTGGAGTCTTAAGTGGAAGAAGAGGCGATGTTCCAAAAATGAGCAGTGTGCACTTGTGCACCACGAGCATGGTCGTTTCCATTTTAGCTTTTAAGATTTGTATCAGGCGGTGTAATTAAAGGGCAGGATTGCTTCGTGGGTTTGAAAGGATGGATGTTTGTCCAGAAACGTGCGGTCAGAGTAAAAGCAAGGTCAAAAAGCCCAGCACAGTTGGCTGCTTCACTGATTTTATTATTTAGCTCATTATTAAAAAAAACAAAACACAGAAGAGAGAATCCCAGTCTCCAAGTTCCCACTGCTACTGAAACCTGGAACTGAAAGGGTCTCATCAAAACATTTCTGCTCTTTAATGGAGATGGAATGAAAGCCCAAAGCTCTGGCTTTGTTGTTGAGACAGAAATGTAAATAAGAGACATGGAAATTGTGCAGTACAACTCAGCTTACTGAGTTCTCCAAGCAGGGAAGAATGGTTACTCATGTCTGGAAGAGTGTCAAGTCAGTGCTTCTGATTAGAGATGGGTGTGAAGCTGCTCGTTTTGGTTCCAGGGAACTGGGATGCAGACCCTGGCCTCAGCCTCTGTGTTTCTAGATACAAGATTTAGCTCTCGTGTAGCATAGTTACAGTTTGTTAAACTAAATTAAATGTTAGATTTCATTTATATCACACCCACTTAAAAAAAAAAAAAAAAAAGAAAAACAACTTGGGGGTGGGGAGAAAAAAAGGGTGGAAAGGTTACATTAACACTGCGTTGTAATTTTAATACAGCTCCAGATGCCTGAAGAGTTGTGGTTGGGATTTTTTGTTTTTTGTTTGTTTTTAAGAATAATTCTTTAGTTTGGAGAGCAACACCAGCTGCTTTGTGATCAAGTTAACTGTTTGAAATTTGCTTTGATATTAAGTAGAGCTTCGCAGATGAAATGAAAATCTCTTAACTTTTACAGATTTTACATCTAATATTTTTCAACCTTTTAAATGTGTTGCACCTCAGAAGTTAAAGGACATGTGATCATTATTTTGATGTCCCCCCCAGTAATAATGTAATTTTACTGTGACTCAGTAAGGATGGGGAATCTTTCTTCTGCTAATGGACATTTTCATGGTTACTTGTTGGCTGCCCACATGCACACATGAACGCATTCTTGTCAATTCAGCTGAAGCAAATATTGATTCTTTATCAGTTAAAACATTTCTGAATGAAAAGGTGAAAAATGAAACAAACAAACAACAAAAAAAGGAATCTTTAAGTTACCTGCTCAAACACAGTGCTATTTGAGTTCAACTAATCTGCAAATCTGAGCTTTCATAAGCATTGTCATTACTGTCACTGCTGCTCTCTCAGTGAGTGATCTCCCAGGAACAGAATTAAAAAAGAAATCGGTGATGCCCTGCACTTAATGAGGACTTCTTCTGGAGAACTTGATTGAAGCCCAATGACACTTAATGGTAACGACCGGTGTGTAATGGGGGACAATAATTCTGTGGAATTAAGATGAGGCACTTCAGCTAAAATGCTTCAGCTGAGACCCGGTGCTGAAGCATTAGCCTCCTGTTGATTGGGAATTCTGCTGCATCCACTCACACTGGTTGCACAGATCCTCCAGTGCTGTGGTTGTGAATGGGACCAGGCGACAGAACGGCTAATGATGGTCATCTTTGGATCAGCATCATTTTTTAGTCACAGAAAAGAGAGAGGTCGGCAGCTGTCCTCTGTTTTCTGCAGAAATCATGACATGGGATGTTTCCTGGCAAGTATTCCCCTCTGGGTGCTCTAGGGAGAAAGAGAAAGGAAAAATAACAAGGTATGTCCCAGGGGAGATCTCCTTCCTGACCTCGGAGTGGTTGGATCAGTTCATCATCAGGCACCTGAGCCAAGCTGGCTGTGCTTGAGAATTCACCCAGCTCGGCTCAGTACGAAGCACAGAAGGATCTGTATTGTTTGGGAAGGAATAAAACGGGTCAGAGCAGTCGGATAGTGCTGAGGCTTAGGAATGCTGTGCTCTGAGGAAACAGAAAGGGATGGCAGGAGGAAAACAGAACTGGTCTAAATCAAAATCACTTTCAGACTGATGGTGAGAGAACGTGCTAAGGACCCCCACGGTCAGATCTGGATGTGGGCAGAGATCTCTGTTAGAGAGATGAATACTACAGGAACTGATGTCATTATGGGAGATTCATCTCCCAGTTATAGATCACAAAATGAGAGCAACTTCTACCAGCAGAATCCGGCTACTGCTGGCAGAATTCTTCACTGGAGGTGATGTTATTTTCGAGTCTATATTTGTAAGGGTGGGACTGATTGCAACTGAACCACGCAAGGAGCTTAATGTGCCCAGATCTGGAGCCCAAATGGCCATTACAACCGTGGGTTGCCAAACTTGCGTATCGTCCATTAAAGCAAACCATAAATGAGATCCTACTGGATCTCAGGGAAACTGCTGGTAGAAGGAAGGATGTGTTTGTGTCAGGAATGCAGTGTACTGGTTTAACTGCTTTTAAACAGAATGGAAATGGAATTGGTGCAGGACTGCAGCATTATGTGGAGTAGGGAGGGGTACTTAGCTCTCATACTTCAGGAACACGCGCTGAGAAAGGGCATAACTCTCTCTGAAAATATCCTGAGGTAGATCAGAATGGAAAATAGTAATTTCAGAGCTAGTGCTACGTATGAACTGACCACAAATAAACTTAGGCTGTAAACCATGAAGTCCCTCACCATCAGGAGGTGTAGGCTTTACAACAGGACTAGATCCAAAGGCACAAACTGGACTGGTTTAAGACAGTTGTTTAGAAGTGGCTGCATGGTTTAGTTGTCTTAATAGCAGGAGGTGGGATGGCAGTGACCCAGGAGTCATCTCCTATCCAGTGCCCCTAAAATGGCAGGAGGCCCCACTCCCAAAATGAAGGCCACGTGCAGAGCTCCTATCAGCTTCCAGTTTTCAGCAGGCTTAGGGTATCAGAGGGGATTTCCCGAAGAATCTGATGGAAGTTCTGAGCAGAGAGAAGCTGCTGGCATTTTCCTCTCTGTTTATCTTATTCCTAATCCAACTATGAAGCAAACACATATTATAGCATCTACTCCTGTATTACTCGACCCAAACGCCTGTTGACATCAATGGGAGCCCCATCCAAATGAAGACAGCAGGATGAGGCCTGACATCTTTTCTTCCACCCAGCTGGAAAATAATAATAACGCTAATAATTTTTAAAATCCTCCTAGTAGTTATTCTTCTGAAAAGTTAAAATAACATGGTGCTGTGACTAGAGAGAGATGTAAGGGAAAGTGCATCAGGAATGTAATATTGTTTCCAGATGTACAATGTCATAAGAATTTTTTCCACACTTGGAATGGTAACAGGAATTTTTTGAGAGAGATCATTTACACAGTGATGAGATATGTTACATGTAAATAAACGCCTCTGTGCCTAGAATGTTTGTACCATATGGCTAAATAGGTGTCTATGAGTGATGCAGCTTTTGCATGTAGATGCTGGGTGTTTCCCTGCGCGCATGCGATGTGAAGAGGAGCAGGCTTTGTATTAATGAAGTATCAATATACCGTATAGATGGGGGAGGAAAGATTGTAGTGCCTCTGGCCAAGAATTTGTAGTATTTCTGAACTTTTCATTGAGATACCATTAGGTGGGTGCAGAACGTGCCTTCCCCACCACCCACCCCTCAGTGGGCTTCTGCAGGGGACGCAATCATTAACGAAGAACGGCTGCAGCCAGAGCTGAAGATTTTAGTCTGAAAACGGGTAATGTGAACTGTTAGACTGATTGGTGCTGTCAGTGCTGGCGAGTCAGAGAGGTAATCTTTAAGGTAAAGTAACACCAACACTTTGAACTGCGCAGGGAAATGGAAGAGGGGCAATCCAGCTCGGGGAACCTGAGTGCCGTGTGCTAAACCCGGTCTGACTGAATGTCACGGGAGGTGATGAGCCCCCATTGTGGCTTTTGAGGAGGGAGCACATTACAGAAATCCACCTGGGAAACAAAAACAACCACACGTTTCTTCAGCACTGCTGCGGAATCATTGCTCCGGGTCTGTGGCTTCATAGCTGGCTCTGAGACCCTTGCAGATGTGCAAAGAGATCCTGGAGAACTGCTGGAAGCCCTGCTGAGAAGCTTGCACCTCCCTTGCTGTTGCTGTAGGTGGAACCCACGTTTGGTGGCTGAAGGAGCACTTGCTGTGTCTGTTTCTTGCTCAGGTGGTTGTCCTCTGAGGCTCCACCAGAGTTGACTGGTTGATCCAGCTGTTTAGGAGCATAACATCTTTTTTATTTATGCCATCTACATCAAATTTGGCCTTAAGCTACAATTACCAGAATGCATTTTCTAGCTGACATATTTTGATGTTCTCAGGTCGTTTCCTCAGAAATGCGTTTTGTGTTAACTACTGATTTGAGCAAGGAGATCTCAAATGGAATTGGCGTAGAAGCTGAATTTCCACACACTAGAAGTAGTGCCATCAGATCTGGAAACAGAAACCCCAAAACATTTGTCAATAATTTGCCAGTGCTGTGGGCAAATCTGAGAACTTCAGTCTCTGGAGAAGTTTGCACGTTGCCTTTCAGCAGCACTAAACACAGGTTTACAAAAAGGCCTGGGATGTTTTACGATGTTAGGAGAGCAAGTGTTATTGATAAATATGCGTTCAGAAAGGTATTGGCAAAAAAAAAAAAAAAAAAAAAAAGAGCCTAGAAATGGTTAACAAGGTAATGGTAAGAAGCGTTGACCTTGATTTGTTTAGCTAAGATGTAAAGATTTTTGAAGGTCAAAGGTGTTCTTGTGTAGTGTTTTGGAGTCTAACTGTGTCTGACCCTCTAACATTAAGCTGCTGTGGCCTGCAGTTTTGAAGAGTGAAGCAAACCAGGGGGAAAGGGAGAAGGGGGAGAGAACAGGAAATGGAGTGAGGTGTTTCAGGAAGTTGTCAGGAGTTGACTGATTGATTCCAGATGGAAAGGGTCACCCTTCATGACCCAGGAAATACTCACTGGGGGAAAGCAGTTGGCTTGTGAAAGGGAAGGGCCTGGGAGTTAGAGACCAGAGCGGAATGCGCATTCCTCTTCCCTTTATCCATAAAACATTGTTTTTTAATCTTCAGCATAAAACGACTGGGTTGCCATCTTCACCAGCCAAGAAGGAATGACCAACCAAAGTAGAGAAGCTCAGGAGTTGTTACGTCCAGAATCTTGCATGTTCTTGCTCCACAGCACTGATAATGAGTTGGTGTGCTGTGTCATAGTGACGATGACAAAGATGTGTGCTGAATTCCAGTAGTACCTTAAAGATTACTGCAAAGAAGGTCTAAAACTTTGAGAAGGTTCTGGTCCAGATCTGTGCTTTGCTTTTGTCCTATCCCTGAGGACTGACTGCAGGGATTTACCATAGGGCCCAGGGCTGATGCATTGCCAACTGGGTTTGACCCTGCTGTGATAAACAGGAGAGGTAAATAGAAATGGAGCCATTCACAGAGAGAGGTCTTCAGCTGGAATAAAGGATGCTCAACACTCAGCTTCTAAACGCAGGACTATTTTTTTGCTATTATTCTTGAAATAGGACTCTTTTTTTTTGTGCAGCATTGACACCCAAGTGGGTTTTCAAACAGGCAGTGTTCACACTTGCAGTCTGCAGATACCATAAAAAAACCCCTTACCAGGGGCACATGGGTGTGCGTTTATCACATACGTACCTTGTGTATGTGAGGTCAGGTATGTATATGTTATATAATGTAACTGTATATATATGATATACTTCTGATTTACATTTGGTTGCAATTTAAACACTTGTCGTAAATATTTCAGACACTGGAATAATTCAGGCCTATTCCCCTGTTGCCACAGTGCGCTCTGTGCTGGCCAGTGAGAGATTAAAATTTATTTCCATTGTTTAACGGAAAATAATGAAGTGCATCTGAGTGGGTTCAGCTATGTCATGCGGGAAGCGTTCGCCCTGGACAGGAGTCTCACTCCACCCAAATGTGCAATGATGAAATCCGTTGGCACACGGAAAGCAACACATTTTGTGACAAGAATGCTTGGGAAATATAAGAGCACGGTATGACAAGAGCCTTTTGGAATGAATTAAACTTGTCTCGAGAAAGAAAGTATTCTTTAAACTTGCAGAATCCTGCCGGAGGGCAAGGTTTCTCATGGTGTGTGATGAGCATTGCTTCATCAGCAATTAGAGCAATGCTCAGCAATTAGTTCTCTTACCTGGACCACGCCAGCTGCGTCTGTGAAAATTCAGGAATGTGTCCAGGGTCAAATCCTCAATAGCTGTGAGTTTCTATAGCTGCGTGGGGCTGAGCTGATTTACACCAACTGATGGCCGTAACCCAAAGTTTCAACAAGATGCATCTTTTTTTCGGTTGTTAAAATGCAGGATTGGTTCTTTTTTTATTATTATTTTTTCCTTTTAAGTTTGTGGTTTAAAGGCAGGTTTGGGACGTTGTGTTTGAAAGGGAGAGTGAAGCAGGATTCATTAACATATTCAATTACTCTAAGAATTCCTATGCCTTCAGAGCCCAGCAGCGAAGCCATGGAGGCCAAGGCTTTCAAATCTGGTGCTTGACTCTGGGAGCTCAGGCTCAGGTGTTTTCTGAGAGGCACTCAGTCTGTATATGTGAAAACCAGACATCGTATCAGGCACTTTTTTCACGTCGTAGGAGTTTCTCTTTTGCTCGGTCAGTGGAGACCTTTATTTCTGAAGCAGATGCAGATGCATTTGCATGTGTGTGCAGTACAGCAGATGGCTCTGAATCTGCATGTATGTATCAGAGGGCAAATTGCTGCGGTGCTCTGCAGCCTGTCCTCCTGGTTGCTGTATGCAGACCTCCTTGCCATCAGCTATGCTACGGTGCATCATAGGAAACGAAATTTAGGGCCATCTGCAGTGGCTGGTTCATTATACATTAAGGACTTTATATGGCCCTTAGGATGCTGTGTTAAATGGAATTAATGCACAGAGTAAAGGCTGAGAATGTTTTCTCCCATTTTTGCTAGGGAGTAAAACCTGCAGGACACGATTTCATTTTACAAACAGAATAAGATTTTAACTAAACTGAATAATTAATACATTATAAGCTGAATATCCAACTCAGCTGTTTACCTGCCTCCTTTTTCTTCCCTTTGAAAATATCTAGGTTGTGCTATCCACAACAGTGAATGTTGATGGGCACGTGCTGGCAGTGTCTGACAACATGTTTGTTCACAACAACTCCAAGCATGGACGGAGAGCAAGGAGACTCGACCCCTCTGAAGGTAGATGCTGTATGAAGAGTGGTACACAAAGGAGTGCAGAAGCATGTTACCCATTCTTCAATTTCTGTTTATTTGCAGGAGGAAAGGAGAGCTAAGAGGGAACTACAGAACCTCAGGGGGCTTAGGGAAGGAAAAGGCAGGAAGGAAAACAGTGTCTACTGCATGCAAAATATCATCCTCTTCACATATAAGATGCTGGCTTCCCTCCTCCCCCTCCCAATTCATTTACTAGTTTGTCCTGAAGAGATGAAAAACAAAGAAACACTGAGTATTATCTCAAATTCGGACTTCTTTTTCAGCTGGGATTGATTTGATTTCAGGCAAATTAGGCAACATGACATCTTAGTTAAACAGAACTGTTACAGCACAAGATGTGTATGAAAAAGTGTCACTAGTTCCCTTAAACAAACTATGTGCAAAGCATAACAATGCACAGAAGGAAACTGACACTAATTGATTTTAGTTTGTTTGGCTAAGCGAGGCTCACGGCCGTCTACAGGATGGTTTTGGACTATATTAAAGTAATTACAAATACTCGTGTCTGTTATGTTTCAGAGTGCTTGGCCCCTCCTTTCCCTCTTCTCGTGCATTCATTACCAATGTTCTGCCTTCTCATGCAGACAGTACTCCAAATTACTAGCAAATGCTATGTGTGTCTACTTTTCCCTCCCCTGCAGCTAGTGAAAGTGAGAAGAGCTAGTGATGTTAGCAGAAAAGACAAGCAGGGATATTATTTCATTATAATGTTTTGCTGCCCCACTCCTTAAATGTGCCCTATATCAACCTATAAGAAGAATTAATGAACTGGAAGAAAATGATTGAATCAGTAAAGAATTCAGAGTGGTGTTAATTCTCCCCCAGCGGGCAGTGAAATGGTAGAAGGAAAATCCCAGGATTCCTAGCCTAGGAAGCCATCCAGTTTTTCCTTGACTGATTGGATGTGATTGACTGGCTGTTCAAAGGAGTCTCATGTTTTTGGAGCCCTGCCAAAGTTCCCCTCCACCTCTGACCCTGTCAACATTGGGAATGGAGTGATGGATTGACTTTGGTTATGGCCTGGAAACCATATTGGGTTCCTGATGGGATGTATAGTCCAGAGGCCTTGAACATATGGAAGAGAGATGAAAAAAAAAATCTATTCCACAAAACCAAGAAAATTGTTAGAAATTGTCTCCTGATAAGAATTGGAGGAAACATTTGATATTTCCGTATCTCTCTTACCATTGATAAACCTAATAAATCTTAATCTACGTCTCTTTGCACAGGGTTTAGCCTTTGTGTGATCATATGCTAATGAGTGTGGGTGTGTTTTTTGTTTTTTTTTTTTAAAAAAAAAACAACCTCTGCACGATCATTTAAGCATTTCATTTTTACACCCACTACAGTTGGCCTATTAGGGCTTTAATGACACAGTGTTAAGTGCTGGTAATGAATAGGCAAGTAATTAACACTAGCAAGGCAGAAAACATGCATTTATTCGTATTTATTTATTTATTTACTCACTTCTTTGGCTTTCTGAAATGGAAAAGCAGCCTTCACGGGTGACACTTCTTGTCCCAGGCCTCTGCCAGCACTGGGGAATTCGTGGCAGTGTGAAGCTGCAGCAGTGCAGAAAGTCCCAGGAGCAGAGAGGTGAAGCTATGGGTTGCCCCAATATGACTTCAGACTGCTTAACGTGCATAGAGGTCACTTGCACTTCTCTTCTGCAAGGGTTTACAGCCAGCATCTTAAATCCCTTCTCTGACGCTCTGCTCTCCTTTTGGTTTTGTTCAGCCACACCTTGCATCAAAGCAATCAGCCCAAGCGAAGGCTGGACAACGGGAGGAGCGATGGTGATCATTATTGGAGACAACTTCTTTGATGGGCTTCAAGTAGTGTTTGGAACCATGCTTGTGTGGAGTGAGGTAGGTGGAAGCACCTCCCAGCTGAAGGAACGCTGCTGTTCTTTGGGAAGTAGAGAGGGAGCAGCGTTATTTCCCATTCTAATAATGCTACAGAAATGGTGGGGTGTAAGATGGGCTGTGTAAAACTCCATGAAGGTAACTTATAGAAATCTACTCTGATGAATTACTTGCTCTATGATACAACCAATGAGGCCAACTGCTCAGTAATATCCAGAATAGGACTGAGTAACTCTAGGAGTCTGGAGACAGATAAAGGTATAGAAGGAAAGAAAGAGGGAGTGAACATAAGAGTTTATAAAGGAGAAAGAATTTCCTCTGGGTCCAGAAATAACGGGTATAAGTAACACTATTTTTCCTTGATGACAATTTATCCTAAAATCCTCTTTTCTCTCCTGGAGGTAAGAAACGACACGAAATATATCAGTTGCCCAATCTGTAGCATCTGCTACACAGCATTAAGCAATGCACTTACTCATAAAGCACATTTGGAGGGTGTAGGTGAGCAGGGGGAATAACACAGCCCTGTAATTGTCTCTCTCCTTTTGTTGTTTCCCAGCTCATCACGCCTCATGCAATTCGAGTTCAGACGCCTCCACGTCACATTCCTGGAGTGGTTGAAGTGACATTATCATACAAATCCAAACAGTTTTGCAAAGGCGCCCCAGGCAGGTTTATTTACACAGGTAGGTGCTTGTGATTTGCACTGGAGGAGCTCAAGCTCCGAGCCTCTTTGTTTTGATAAGCAGTACTGACAACTCTGTGCTTTCCTTGTTTGTTTGTTTGTTCTGCCTCTTGATGTCTGAAGGCCACTCTGCCAGTTGTGACATTTGGGTAGGGAAGCTTCATTGCTGTGCAGAGGTGTTAAGCAATTGTTGCTACATGTTAATAGTTGTTCTAGAATAGAGCTCATGCTGTCATGTTATGGGTCTGCCCGTACGTGTGTTGGATGTACAGTAACACAATAGGATTGTTCTGTATATCAGAAGATGTTTTATTTATAGCAGCATTTATTTTACATTTCTTCCTCACTGGGGGCAACCTTTCATTTTCAAGGTAATCCCAGAGGACAAGAAGTGTCTTGTATTGAGAGAAGCCAATGAACTGAGTAGGAAATAAGTACAATTGTTTGGGTTCTTTTTTTTATTCTTAAATGGATTATCAACTTGTTTAGTGCCCTCCATTCACCTCAGCCAGCAGGAGAACACTGATGTTATGGAGAGAGCAGTCCATGGATCAGACAGGGAAAATCAGATGGGAGCAGATGAGCAGCTTGTTGAACATCAGGCCAGCAGTGGCATGCAATGTGTGTGCCCAACTTTCTGTACCCTATTGCCTGGTCTGGAGAATGATCAGACAATGAGTTTAAAGGGTGGATTTGTATTTAAATAGATGGACTTGCTCCCACTGGATCACTTTCAAGTTTCTCAAAATGCAAGGAATTATTGCTTTTTAAAGCCTCTTCTTACCAACAACCATCATTAACTAATCTGAGTATTATGTTGGTTGGATTTTGAGCAATCAATTAAAAGTAATGATGAAGGTCCAAGAAATTTTTACTAAAAATTTTAAGGGAAAAGCCACATGTTGGGTGAACTAGTTAGAATTTTCCTAAAACTGGAAAAATTTGAGTGGAAATCAGAGACTTTAGGAAAAACATTGATTTATGAGATTCCCATTCCCGTCATATTTTATATGTTCTTTATTAGAACAAATGCTAAATTACTGTTAGCTGAATATGTGGGAAGATTTTTATTCATGACTGTCACACCTAGAAACCTGCAGCAAGAATTGAGTCTTAAATGACACGGGGTGCTCTGAAGAAATATATGAGTTTAACTGACATAGGGTTATTTTTGTTACGACCATGATCTGATCCAGGGTTGGTTGAAGGCATTAAAATTATATCCATTGAATGAGTGAAGGTGAGGACTTTCTTTTGATCTTGCACCAAAACAACCCTGAAGCAGAATAGATTTGTTCTGGAATTAGGCTTGGACTTGTGAGATCAGGATCTGGCCAAAAGCTTTAGAAATACATCTTCTAATGTATTTTCTGCCTGATAATTGGCCAAAGCTACCAAAGATTGTTGGTTCATGTGCAGTAAAGGCCTCTTTGGGGCAGCATGAGGTGTGATGCTTTTACCTTCAGAGAGTGTTAATTATTTAGTTATTATTACAGATAGAAAATGTCGAGTTTTTCTATACTCTTTTTTGCTTGTTTAGGCCTTGGGTTGTGCAGTTCTTCAACACAAAGTGAGGGCCATTCTCTGAGTGCTGTTGATACCAGTGCTGAAAGAGCTTTAGGAACAGAGCGATGCAGAGATGTGTAAAATAGAAATGTGCACCTGCCTATGAAAATATGTATATTTCTGATTGTAAAGCTGTCTTGATTGCAAGACTTACCTGTACCAGCTAGGGGGACTGGAGTCAGGCTGTAGTGCAGTTCTTTGACATATTAATTAGTGTGCTTCCATTAGAAGGGACATGAAGACGTACGTAGGAGCTGGCGGAAGAGAGGAAAGTTAAATCTACTGTCCCTGTGTTACTGCTGCTGCTGGCATAGGGATATCTGTTAGCATTCTCTGAGGAGTGAGTGGGTGCTCACTGCCATATGTTACAGAACAGCACTTCATGAAAGATGCCGGGTGAGGGTAGAATAGACAACGTTTCAATCTGTCTGTATGGGAACCTGCAGCTCTCCCACCATGGCAGGCAAAATGATAAACACAGCTATTAGGTAGAGGCTCACCTGTGTAATCAATTCCCCCAGGTCGTCGCTGCTAATAGCAATAAAAACAACTTCTTAGCTATGAAAATAACATGGTGGCTTTTTATTTATTTTTTTTTCTTGCTGCAATTGTGGTATCAGAAAACTGCTGTGAACAAACACCAGGCAAGCTGTGTTCATGCAGTCAAGGTCCTTCCACTTGTGAGTCTTTTTAGGACCCTCCCAAAACTTTTGAACCATCAGTTTCTGCCAGAAAGGTGGAGGCACAGCTCTAGCATGCTTTATAGAAATGGGAATTCATAGGAGAGATCTGAATCAGTCCTTACTGAAGGAGAGGCTGCAGAGCTCCAATGACATTGTAAGACAAGAGAGAAGCTACCAACCCCAGGAAACCAGGTTATCTAAAAGGCAGAGAACACGTGTGTGTCCATTGCACTCTTTGCAGATACACTCAGTAGCACCACAGAAGTGCAGGTCTTTGCTGGGAAGAGTAGAGCAGACAAATATATTAAGTATTGAATAGGAAAGTTCAATATATTTTCTATTATTGAGGAGGCAGTCCAGTGCATCACAATGAAAATCTATTTTCTTGTGAGAATTGAAGCTCGTTATTTTCGTGTTGCTCTTAGTGCTTTATATTGCAGTGTAGCTGTCACACAGCTTCTATTTGACAAACCATCAGAGAATGGGGCAGCTTGGAGATGCAAATGAGACCACTTCTCTCTTGAACTGTGGTTGTCTCTATAAACAGGAATTTCTCCTCTAAATATATCCCCCTTACATCCAACCTGCGCTTGGCAAAAGCTGAAGAAATGTGGAGACGTTAATATCTAGCCCAGGAGACTGAGGAGTGTGAAATTCTGCAAAGTGTAAGCATGGGAAGATGTACTTCTGTCAGAATTAATAACAGCAGCACCGACGAGCAGCTCCACTACCAGCAGGGTCATGTCGTATTACGTCCTTAATAATTATTAAGTGCTGAGATAACCTCAGATGGAAAGTACGAAGGGTCAAGCCATTTAAAGCTACTGAGCAGCTGGCTATAGGCACATCACAGGTATAGCAATGATAATTATTCATAGCAAACCAGACCTTGGAAGGTTCATCAGGGCCTCACTGCGTCAGACACGTGCTTCCATTCTATCCATGAGGAACTGCCATGGGAAGAAGAAGGATTAAGCACTGCCTGTGGTTGTGCAGGAAGGCTGAAGATAGGCAGGGGAACAGATCTCCCAGGTCCTAGGCAGATCCTTTTGTCACCAGGCCACCAATACTTTCCTAAAATGCGGAACCAGAAAAGCAGTGATCTCAGTATTGTGAAGTGTGTTTCTGTTTGTGCCCTCAATATTTAATATACCATCAAATATTAATGTTTGACCTGTTTATACTTGGTCTTTTCTTTTTTTTTTTTAATAGTAACAATACAGGTTGTTTGAAGAAGAAAATGATAAAGTGTTAAAGAGATGAGCATAAAAATTAGATATAAATTTCGAGGGTAAATCTGAATGCCACAGCAGAGCTGTTGTGGGAGCTCAAATGCATCCTGTAGTCTGTATTTATAATGGGCTCCTAGCAAAGTGTGCTGTGCTAGCATTGCTGTAGTTATGGTTCTGTCAGCATTTCCACTCTTAAGTGCTATCATTCAGGGTGCTGCATCTCACCCATCAAATTCCTCTCATCACCAAAATGTTATGCATGGACTTTTCCCTCCAGATACCAGATGGAAAACCCTTCTAAGAGTGAAGCCAATAGGATTCTGTGGGTGTCTAACAATGTCCTGGAGTATGGCAAAAATCTAGTGGAATGGCTTCTTACTGGCAATAGCAGTTGCTGAACCAACTTACATCAGTAGTTAGTATAATAAGGGTGATAAGTCTGTTTTTAAATCACCATAATTAAATATTTATCCTCCATATAAACCTTAAACTGGTGTGAATACAGGTTACACGTACACCTCCATGTTCTGTATTACTTCTTTGTCATCAGTTGTTCTTAAAACAGGACATTTGTTCCCTGCTGCTAATCCAGCAGTAGCCTCATATTCTGCTTTAATACTACACAAATTCACATTCTCTGCTCCTTTAAGCAGTGCCATTATAGCTCCATTGTCTTTAATATCGCTTACCTCAGTTTACGCCAGCTGGAGGTATGTCTCGTAGGCTTTCATATCTTAAGTTTGATCACAGCTCTGCATTCACTTTGTCATACAGTTTCTAACCTGGAAATGTGTATTTCAGGGAGATTTTGAACATAATTCTCCTTGCTGAGCAAAAATCCTCCTGGAGTTAACTTGTCAGAGCAATGCAATATAAGCTAATCTGTAGGATATGCTGGTCTCCCAGGCTGTGGTGTTTCACTTTCTGTGCCAGGTACCAAGGATAGGAGGTACTGTTTTACTAAAGCTTGTAAGTAGATTTGAGAAGGTCTTGTTATTTGCATGTGGAAAGCAATGGTTACAAGGATACAACTCTAGAAATTGGAAGCTCTAGAAATTGGAAGAGTGAGTTCGCTTGGCCCAAACACAACTGATGTGATCTGAAAGCATTTGCACAGAGCAGCTCCTATGCTCCTTCAGCCTATTGAAGACATTGCTGTGTTGGGAGTGTGGTGTTCAAGAAAGCTGTTACTGAAACAGCAAATATAGCACAAGGTGTGTATTTCTGGTAGCATCCTTCCAGCTCTAGATCTCTAGGTCCTAATGTACTCCTCCGAGTAGACTGACCAGATGCACAAACTTCCCAGTGCACAGAATTGCTGTTGACTGTAAGCAAAGAGCTTCTGTAGTCAGCAATGTGAAAATAAATATTTTATTTTGTAGGGTGAATACTAAGCATCTCTTCACTGTTGCTTTGAGTGATGGTAGTTCTCAGTGCAAAGCTGGAGTCCAAGACTTTAGGACCACGGATGCTTTGTTTTCTGTATGTTAAGCTCTTGAAGGTTAGGTGTCATGCTCTAAATATTAAATATGCTCCCTAGCTCAGCTTACTATGCTCCAGATACATCTAGGAGTATGTATACCTTGTTTCTTCTCATTTATGCTTTGCAAACAGTGGGCTTGTTGGCATTTGCTCTGTGTCACAGAGTAAAGCAAAGGCGAGCTGCAGAACTTTGCCAAGGGCTTTGATTGAGGCCCTTTTTTGACTGGCAGAGAGGGAGAACACGCATCTCCCAGGGCATCACTGTGATATCAGAGCGGGCTGTCACTCATGGTAAATTGTGCAGATCTTCAAAACATCCTCCTCCTTCACCAGTCTTATGTGCTTTGATGTGTGGTGAAATAATTAATACTTTAAATGTCAGCACTGTTATCGTTGGGTATCCTGAGTTGGTCCCCGTTGAGATGAATGGGACTGAGCTGTTGTTTCAGGTTGTGCAAATGCAGACAGGTGTCATGGCATCAGTTGTTCAAGTGTGAGAGATTTTGTTCATATTCCAGTGAGTCACAGTAACTGGAGACTTGTATTTAAAATGGAAGCGTGGTTTATATAGGATAAGTAATGATATAAAAGAGGCAGCTTTATGCCATACTCTGTTTGGGTCTTGTCATAAATTGCCAGGCAGGCTGTGGGCATTCAGACCTCTCCCTGCTGTTGACTGTGACAATTCTGTAACATAATTCTAACAATTATGTTAGGGTGCAGTTTATAAACTAACCAACAATATGGTTTATTTACTAGATGAGTGCTCTTTTTTTCACATGCTATCTCATGTCATGAACAGTTTAAGTTACTTTCTGGGAAATTCAAGAGACCCTTAGTGCCTGAAACGTTGGATCTGTGAGTAGTCAAAGGGATTTTGCTATGCCTCAGTCAGTTTTCTGGGGGGTTTCATTTAGGATATCTATCTCTTTGTGGTCTCTAAATCCAGAAACCAAAAAGCATTTGGATATAATTTTGACATACGGTCTATGTAACGCATAGATAAATCACTGCTGATCCAATAGCTCTTTTCTCAGTGGAAGTGGTATTGTGGTGAAGCTGTTTAAACTTGCTGGTGGAGTCTACATCTCACCTCTCCTGTTGCAGCTTCAGTTGAAAAGGTACCATCTATTTCCAAAAATGTCATATGTTGTTTCTTTGCAGGATTTCATGGCAGTTTTGTTTCATTAATGAGTAAAATAAGCAGTAATCTTTTTTACTGCAGATCATACAGAAAACCTTTTGTGACAAGAGGCACAATGTCTGCATTAACTAAAAATGGTTGAGTTCTTCTTAGACAGTTCAACATTGTTGAGAATTTATTTGTTGCTATTTATTTGTCTGAATAGAATTTAAAAAAATCCATGTCAGTACTTTGGAAAAATGTTTGTTGAATAACAGCCGATTTCTTTTTCCTGAATTAGAATGCTGTATATTCCCGTTAGCTAATTTTAGTTAACTATATATAGATATGTTATAATTCTTGTATATTTTACATTGCTTTTGCTTATATCTAAAAAATGCAACATAACTCATTAGACTTGTAATCAAGAAGAGAAATGGCACACAATGATGTATAGACTCGTGAGAGAATTGGCCTATAATTCTCAGGATTATTGGCAAAAAAAAACACCAACAGAAACAACCCACCCCCTCAAAAAAAACCTCTTCCCAAATGGGATGTAGATTCTGTGGCAGTTGAAATGTGTATTATTAAACTCCTTAAGCAAACCAGAATGGCTCCCAGTGGAGAGCAAAGACATTCTAAGTATAGCCAAGACTAAATTCTCAGGTCTGGGTTTTCTCTTCACAATTCCCACTTGATTATCTCCTGTAATATTTAAACTTCATGCCATGCCATAATTATTTAATAAAAAGTAAATATAAAATGTATCTCGGTGGGGAATATGACCTTTTACCTTCATGTTGTTATACCAAAGATAGACACAGATAAACAGAGAATTTGGATCGGTATAATAGTCTGTCTCACTTGATAGTTTAATTCTCCCGGTGTTTGAAACGGTTATCCTGAAAGATGCTGAGAATATTTCAGAAGATTCAGTAAATGCCATCTACATTTCTTGGAATCAGGTATTTTTTTCAGCTGTGCTGATGGCACCAATTCTTGAAAAAAAAAAAAATTGTAGAAGAAGGAAGAATTATACAAAAAGGTGAAAGAAGCTAGCACTGATTGAGGATATTGCTACAGGAGTTGCATGTGTCACTTACTAAATGGTTCATGGAATTCTAAGCAAGATTCTTTGCATATGATTGCATGAATGTGTTGTTTACATTACAATGCACATTCTGAAGTATAAAGAAATTCTAAATATATATGTATATTTATTACTAAACACTAAAAATCCTAACATATTAGAGGCAAACCCAGCTGTACAAGCATGCAGAATTCTAAAGAGATGATGTTGGTTTCTATATTATTATATATTTCAAACAGATTTTAATTTTGAATAATCAGAAACTACATTATTACTGTCAAAGTAGAGATTATCAGCATGTCTGAAGTTTTATGAAATTATCAACGAGACCATCAGGGCTCCACCAGCTTGTACTAAGGATATCTTGGTTTGTCCACGAGAGATTAACATTGTTACAGTGAAGTGGTTATGTATGCATAATAGCCACATACAATTAAAGAATTTAATGTGTCTACTGAATAGCTGCACCCTAGTTTGTGACAGCAGAATGTGTGCAGGATGGGTGATGTGTTTATTAGATGACCAAATATGGTACTCTTCATTTCTGACTGTATAATCAATACTGTATGTGAATTTTTTATTTTTATTTTTATTTTTTTTGCCATAACTTGCTAGATATTGTGGCAGTGGAGAAGCTGTGAAACTCATCTTTCTTTGCAAGACTTTAAGTTTGTATTGCCTGAGATACATAATCATGTAATACATTGTTTTCTGGTTTCCTTTCAGCTTTAAATGAACCTACTATAGATTACGGTTTCCAAAGACTGCAAAAGGTCATCCCAAGACATCCTGGGGACCCTGAAAGATTAGCTAAGGTAAAAACATTTTTAAGCATTCCAACCAAACCCAGTAAATATTTTCTTTCACTTTTAAATAACTCATAAAGAGGGAAAATTGTACCTTAACTGACGATTATATCTGAACATAAGTAAAAGTTCACTAATTGGTTGTAGGTCCAAACAACAATTTGATCGTGCTGACTCTATAGCTACCAGTAAGTTTTACCTGTTAGAGCACAAGCACTGTCTGTGAACTTCTTTTCTTTTACTGCTAAAATGTGCACTGAATGCAGATATCTTCTCAATTCACATGCTTATTCTGTTTGTCTTTATCCACACTGGCAAATCTCTGAACCTAAATATGATAAGCATAAAGGAATTGTTGCAAATCTGAAGGGAATCTTTCATTACAAATCACTTGAAAGTCAGCTTTCTGCAGCCACAACTGCAGCACGTTTGTGTTGAAGGTGCTGTGTCTGTAATCCTACAGTGTGTTGATGCAGTGCCTAGTGCTACAAGAGCGGCATTAATGACTTTACTCCTCTATTTCAGTGCAGTAGAAGACTAACTATTATTATCTATCTCTACGTGACGATAGGCGATTGGGTTTGCGTTATTGTCTGATGTGTCTACGCGAAAAGATGTACTGAAATCCAGCAGGAAGCCGAGTTGCAGTTGGAAATAGGGGATGGCTGAACGGCTTCAGGACGCTGGAGAGCTCCGGGCCCGGCACGCCGCGCAGCCACCGCCCGCTGCCGTCCAGCGCCCGCACCGCACCGCTTCCCTTGCACAGGACTCCTTTCCTTTCCAACTGCCTGTTTTATGTATCTCTCTGTCTGGTCCTTCCCTAGGAAATGCTGTTGAAACGAGCTGCTGACCTAGTTGAAGCACTGTACGGAACGCCGCATAACAACCAGGTCAGAGTAACGACTCTGGGCAGGGTAGTGGGATACCTTGAGATTTTTGTAATAAACTCCAGCACTTTTCTCCCAGCACCTTGCTGAAGTTGTGCCCTTCATTCTGCAGGACATCATTCTGAAACGAGCTGCAGACATCGCAGAAGCTCTTTACAGCGTACCGCGGAACCCCGCGCAGATCCCTGCGCTGTCCAGCTCCCCGGCGCACAGCAGTATGATGGGTATTAACTCCTACGGCAGCCAGCTGGGGGTCAGCATCTCAGAGTCAACACAGGGAAACAACCAAGGTGAGCAGTGCAAGCGGTACACTGTTAATTCACACAATGAGAAACTGAATCTCAGTTATTTCAATAGTACTATCTCAACTCGGGTCTCCTTTGATGGAGATACTAAAGACCCATGTGGATGTCTACCTGTGTGACCTGTTGTAGGGAACCTGCTTTAGCAAGGGGATTGGACTCGATCACTTGAGGTCCCTTCCAGCCCTTGCAACTCTGATTCTTTACCTGCTACATTAAGAACAGGAAGTTTGCTTTAAATGGTCAGCATCAGAAGTGGATGTGTGGTTCTGTTTTGGATAATATGGCAAGTTTTGGTCACCAGACTAGCTATGGCTAAAGCAATTCTTGAGTATTGTTTGAACCCAGCTTAATGCTGAAATTTCTCCCTGCTCCACCCAATGTATTTTTTAGTTAGATCTCTGTTCTTATAAAAGACAAGGATAACAACTGGAAATACTCATAGTTCAAGAGGCATATATATACACATACATATTTATATATATGTATATAAATATAAAGGTTTCTTAACGTTGATTTTAGCAGTTTGCATAGGTTGTACATACTACACTTACTTATACTATTGATTTTTAGGACATTAAGCTATAAAGTGACCTATTAATAGCACTACTAGCATCATGGGAATATGTAAACGTTGGGCACTTTCTGAAACTTGAGTAATTAATTTCTCTAACATACAAATCTCTGGTATCTGACTGCACAGATAGCTGTTTTGTTTAACATAATATGATATGCCTTTACTGCCTTAAAGTTAACATTATAACTTTTAAATGTGGTATATTTAATGTAGATATTTTTACAAGTTTTTTTTTTTTTTTTTTTTAAGTAAGGTCTTACTGATCCTGAATTAGAGCTTCAAAATACCAATGGGCAGAAATAATTTGATTTGGTATCTAAATGGTAACCAATGTTAAGAGTATTGGATCACACCTTTCTAATGAAGTCTTTTCAGTGGAAAAAACCCTTTTACAGCTGTAACAATAGCCTGGTACTTTAATGATGATAGTTGTAGTATTCTTCAAATCTCATTCTGTAGGAAAAGAAGGCTAAGAAAAATACCACAAATGTTTTGCAACCAAACATGAAAGACAACAAATGGCTTTTATTTACTCACTTTGTTCTTTCCCCCTCACAGTTTAATTACACTTATTTGACTGTTTTATTTAAGCTGGATTTAAATAAATAATTTAACCACAAGGCAGGGTTGTTTTTATTTATTTATTTACTTATTTACTTATACAGGAGAAAGTTTTAAGCTAAATTCCTTGGCATTCCATGAAATATGTTTTATTTTTAGGTTACATTCGTAATACAAGCAGCATCTCACCCCGCGGTTACTCATCCAGTTCCACACCTCAACAGTCCAATTATAGCACTTCCAGCAATAGCATGAATGGCTACAGCAACGTCCCCATGTCCAACCTGGGTGTTCCAGGCTCCCCCGGTTTCATTAACGGCTCTCCAACAGGATCCCCTTATGGAAGTAAGTGCTTTGCTTCTTTTAGGTTTGTGCCTGGTCCCGCTTCATTTCATTTACTGCATCAAAAAACAGAGCAGTATCTTTCAAGAAGAGTTTTTGAGATTCAGTGAAAATTCTGTAAGAGGCTTAGAATTTGTGTTCTAGTATATCTAGAAATGTTCCCATCTTTCAAGAGTAACAGAGGAATATTGAACCCTGCCTGCGAATTGAATATCCTCAGTGAAAGACATTCTGAAATCACTTCTGTGTCCAGGAAGAAGTCTGTGAACTACATTAGCAATAACTGAGAGCTGAACTTTGGATTAATTTCCTGTGAAATTATTTTTACTTTGATAAAGTAAGTATTGTTGCACTTCCAGTTACAAGAGTGACCACAGGCCAGTCACTCTTCCTTCCATGACTTGATTTCCCTCTGTAAGACTTCATTAAGGAAAGGACCAAGTCTGCAGCATATTGTTATTCTTCTTTCTAGCTAATGCTTAAAGGAGACTTGGGGATTCATTTGAAAACACAAGAAATATTGGTTAATTCTTCTTACAGTTTAGGCTAATTAGACATATTTTCTTCTGACCTAGCTGATCAGTGTAACTGATCTACTTCAGACTTACCTCAGCCAAACCAACGGGACAGACATATAAAGCAACACCAAACATGTCTTATTGCATCTCTGATGAGGAATAACTTTTTCTTCTCTTGCAGTAATGTCTTCAAGTCCAACAGTTGGCTCCTCCAGCACTTCTTCCATCCTTCCGTTCTCCTCTTCCGTCTTTCCTGCTGTCAAACAGAAGAGTGCCTTTGCTCCCGTCATCAGACCCCAAGGGTCTCCTTCTCCTGCCTGCTCCAGTGGCAATGGAAATGGGTTTAGAGGTAAGAAGTGTACAATTCATATTCAGCTGGCATATACAAAGCACACTGTGTTTGCCTAGAGCCAATACAATAATCACCTGAAAGACCACTACACCATTAGAGGACTCTATAGTGAAAGTCTGACCCAACTCAGCTGGATTAAAGCATTGCTCCATGTTTTGTCTTTTTCATGTTAAAGCAGTGAGGGACAGATACTCATTTATACCAAGAAGGATTTCACCCATGCTTCTTTTAAATACCAGCTCTTTTGTGAGGAATGGCTTCTCCTTAAGCTGCAGGGACCTGTAAAACAAATGTCTGCCCTGCAGAGTTAATAGACAGCTCTGCACACAATGGCCAATGTCTTGAAACCTGCTGCAAGGTTTAGGCTCATGCAGGGAATTAAGCCCTATAGTACATTTACAGCCTTTTTAAAGGTGATCTGCAAAACAAATGTGAGTATTAAGATAAGAATGGAAACCTGTATTAAATTCTTTGCTTTAACAGGCTGTGGGAGGGGGGGTTGTGCAGCACATAAATACACTCCAAGTCTCCATAAAAGAAAGCTTTTATAGGGCCTTAGAAGTCATCTGGCTCCTTCAGACTTCACTAGAGATATCATAGAAAAAAAAACAAATCTGGGAACTCAGCCATGCCAAGAGCCAGTGGTAATTCTAAAAATGAGTCCTACAAACCGCACCTGTTGATTTGGGTGCATTATAAATCCTTAGCTAGGCCACAGGGACCTACATAAACTGTGATTATTTTATATAATAAGGAAATTTTAGGTGTGTTGAACAAAAATAATTACATTTTTAAAAGCTAGCATGCAGAATTCTGCTATATATGTGAAACAGTTTCTTCCCCTGCCGCAATTACCTGAAACTTCGTACCTCTTTAAGATTATCTCCTCCCCATTAATGAAACACATTGCCCCATCCATGGGGCACCATGTTGACAGGGAACACAATTTCTTTCCTTCTCTGTTTAAAGGAGAAAGGCAGGAGTATTTGAAGCAATTTTTGTGTATAGATTTGTACATAAAGAAAGCTTTGTTGACCCAACAGCTGAGGCTATTTATCTACACTGTTTACAGGCAAATTTATCTTTGTGTCATGTCATGATCATGGACAGAGTTATCATCACCTACCTGGTCTGCAGTTACCTTTGTGTTTTTTTTTATTTCTATCAGCTAATGGTGGAACATACTGATTTCACTGTATTTTTATACATATAAAAGCAAACAAAATCCATGGTGAGATTTTAGCTGTTTTGGGGAGCTGTTCCAAGGCCACATGATTGTAAACAGATTTGAACATCGAAGTAGGAAGGCCTATCAAGCTCAGGAATAGTTTGGTTCTTTAGCTTGAAGCAGTTGGACATAATCTAAAGAGAAATCACTCGAGGGCAGCTGTGTGTTCAGAGTAGATTTAAATTGGATTTAAATTTAAACTTGTGTATGCACCAGGCTAGAAGGGCTCATTTAAGAAATTACCAAAGGCAGTGCTAAGTGCAGATCAGTTCAGGGAAAAATCATTTTCAAGACACTTCCTGGGAGAAAGGAAAAGACCAGGTAATAAAAACCACACCGACTATTTATGAACTTCACTTAATACTTTCCCTTAACTTACTATGTCTGTCCCATCTGCTTAAGATGCTGTTTAGCAAGAGTTTTTTATTTTTCTTTAACCCCTTTTGTAAACAAGTGAAGTAACAGAGTTCATTTTGTGCAATTAATGCCATTTAGTGTTTACGACGTGTTTTATTCAATCTATTAATTGGAAATAAGAGATTCTAGTAATGGAACTTTAATATAACATAAAATCTTAAAACTAAAAACCCAGCACTCCCATCTATGCATTTTTCACTGATAGAAGTCCACTGTATCTCCCTCATTGTAGGAAATCCTGTACTTCAGCACTGCAATACATAATAACAGTAATAAAGCCACAAGTGACTTCAGCAGATACAGTACCTGTGCAATGAGACTTGTCAGTCAGACTGCACTGCAAACCACAGCTGTGACTCACAGCAAAGACAGCAGTTGATTCACAGACCACTCTGCCCCAGATTCATTATGTCAGGTTTTCATAGCTATTTAACTATTTCAGCCAGAGATGGAAAGTTGTTTTTTTTCCAACTGAACTGCTTAAATTGATGCTGAGGAGCACATGATTTGGAAAGGATCCAGCTATGCACAGCCTGATATCCAAATTAATGTTCCCACAGTGTTGACAGACAGATGTGGCCAGAAAGTCAACAGGAGGGTCCCAAACAGGCTTCCTGAATGGACTTACTGTGCTGCAGTAATGGGACACTGTTAATCTCCATTGCTATGCCATTGCCCTGTAACATATAAGCTAAGAACAGGCATGCTGTTAATATATATATATTTATTTTTAACATGGGCATCAGCAAAAGCACAGAACAAGCTGTAAGTATATTCAGGCTCCAACTGAAAGCACATCATGCAGTGGTTTTGACATCACCTCCCAGTTTCCCTACCCATAATACAGCAGAAACATCTTTCCAGCTGGGATTTTTTTTAAGCTCTGTTGTAACATCTGCAGTGTTGTACTTTGCCTACATCTATTGTTGAAAGGCAAGAAGTTTCCTAGTGATACAACCTTCATCCTACTTATCGCATCCTGTTGCAGTGATAGTATCAAAAATACTCCCTGGCCCTCAGGGCATGCCACTCTGCTTACAAGCAGCAACAGAAACCTTGAATATAGCTTCTGTGTATGTTAACTACAGCAGTGTTTAGCCCTGCATAAAAACTAGTCTAAACAGGTAGAGCCTTATGAGCTTAATCCTCAGATCAGCTCATTATTCCTGGCCATTTAGAGATGCAAAGATGTATTTTTGAGGGATAATCTTGTGCTGGAAATAATAGGACAGCTTGAGGAAAATACATTGTGAGGCAAAACTATGAGCTAAGCATGAGATGTGCCCATCTCCTGGCTTCCAGCTTTGGGCTGCACAACTCAGCCAAGACCTGTGGAATACCCTCTGATAACCCCATGTGTTCTTTCTTACCTCTTTCACCTACTATACATTCTTACACTGTTATAGGACACGATAGGTAGAGAACAAGCAGCAATGCATACTGGATGCCACTCAGTTCTATATGTTACCTAAATTGAGAGCAGGTGATCCTGATCAGAACAATTGTATTCTCCATTCATGTCAGATGTCAAGGGAGTTTAAAAAAGGCATTGGGAAGATATAATGTGACGTGATGCAACACGGCATGATTAGTACACAAATGCCTAATCAACTCATCTCAGATGGAGGGCAGCTGATGGGGAAAAGTAAGCAAATTGGAAACTGCTGGAACAGCATGGACCGCTGACTGCCCAGATTACCTTTGGCCAGCTCAGCACATCTCAACATAAAAATGCAAGCTCAGTTACAAGGAATAGCAGGCAAGCCCCAGAAGGTCAGATGTTCCATTAACCATCAGGATCCTAGCCAACCCAAAAAGTATGGAAGTCTGATACCCATAGGAACAGTCTCAATTTAGCAAGGGGGACATCTGTACTATTTCCTAAGGAAATAGAGGTATTTGAGTTGAAGACAATAGTTACTCATATCTTGTCTTGCCAAAGTAGAGGTGTTAACACGAGGGATTCTTGTCCACTTGCATTGAACAATTGTACAAACAGGTAATGAGAGAAAAGCTGCTCAGAAGTTTGTAGAGGGTGGGATTCAGATGGAACGACTGGCTCACATTTACAGAGCACTGTTCCTGATTGCTACCAGTGCAGTGCCTGACCTGCAGCTGGAGTCTTAGCTCCAGTCAGCACTTAAACAGAGCACTTCAGACCAACTCTTAACAGCCACAACCAGGTGAAAATAAAACTGGGCATTTCCTTGCTAGGAGCCTTCATTGATATGCCGCCGAGTCAGAGTGATTCCAGAGCCTAGACAGTGCTTTAAGTACCTTACAGACCGTAAGTGATATATTCATGATGTCAATGTATAAGAAAACTATATATGTGCCATTTGATTAAATTTGATATATAAGGATAAAGTACATTTTTCTCTGCAGTTTATTGGCAGAGACATGTGGGGCACAAACTGTTTCAAAATAAAGTCGTAAAAGATATTTCAAATTTCTTGTTAGAAGTTAGCTAAACAAAAATCCCATTTACTTAACCTTCATTTGATGGGATGTTAATTATAGTAGCTCATTATATGTCACAATTTATTCAAGCTAGACAAGAGCTCCATTTTTGATGGGAGAACATAAAAATCTGCCTTTTATTTATAGAAAGATGGATTTGAGACTCTTATGAATCACCAAAGAAAGAGATATAATATTGACCTCTACTTTACAGGTAGAAAAACTACCACTTCCCAGCCCATCTGGAACCATAACTGCAGAGGGGTTATACTTTCCTGTGCTCTCTGACAATTAAATTAATGCATATCACTTTGCAAACAGATTTTGATTTCTAACACTGTTCCTAATTATGTTGAACTAAATCAGTATTCAGGCAGCCCTTTGCACATCTACAACTCAGTACAACACTGAGATCTTTAACCACAGCAGTACAACTCAATGGTGAGCCCAAGTTAACTTCTGTTCACCTACCTGGCAAAGGTTTTGTCCACATTTTTAGAAACATTTTGTGGTTTTAAAATATGACTTAACCTGCTTATCATCTAAAAGAGACAAAACCATGACTTAATTGATAATATTTTACCTGCTTGTGGTTAGCACATCACAAATGGGTGAATGAAGATCTTCCATCCACGTACAGGCAAATTTTTGCCCCCAAAATGACATTAATTTCCTATGGAAGAAAATATAAAAATAAATTATTCAGGAAAAACAAGTATTTGGTGACTTTTTAGTGTCTTTGTTGGAACGATCCTCATGGGCCCTTCATAGAAACTGCAGTTTAGTTTGCTTATATTCTAGTATGAAGGATAATGGTGCCCTTCATCCAAACTACTGATGCTTAAATGAGTCAGCGAGGATTTCTGGAGGAAAACACTCCTCCTTTCTATCCTTCTCAGCTGATTGCTCATTTGTAGAACAGTGCATTGTTTTACAAACAGCTCCCCAGTCTTAATATTAAGGTGAAACTATGCATTTTCTAGTGGTAGCCACGATGGGAAGCAAAGGTAGCGATAGGGTAAAGTTTGCACCCACCAGCTGCACCTGGTACCAACAGCTCAGTGCAATTGCAAACCTACCTGTGTGCAGGACACCTCGTGCACTGAGGTATTTCTGATGTTTCAGGATAGCAGCATTCATTTAAGATGCTCAAAATGGCACCACCACAGCACTTGGTTCACCTCTGTGAAGAGCTGTAGAACCATAAGATTGCAGTTCACTGGAAGCAGTGGCAAAAGAGGAAAACAAAGAGTCATACAACCAAATGAGAGAGCAAGACACAGTGGCTGAAAACGCTCAACACCCTTCTTTAGAAAGTGGGGTTTGTAAAACAGGTTGTAATTTAGCCACCAAAGCACCTATGCTATCTGAAGAACTGGACAGTGCATAAGCAGAGCAGTTCTTAGCAAATGGTGCTGTGAACTGCAGAGTTCTTTCCACTGTAGAGCAAGATGGCATTTTCAGGAGCCACTCGTGTACACTAGGCTTATGATCATTATTAATTACACCCATTAAAGGTGCCCATCACCATAGCATCTGGGTACTATCCATGTTTGATTATTTATTTATAAAAAAATTCTCCAACCTTGTGACAATTTTAATCAAGTGTTTCAGTTGATAATTGCAAGCTGTCAAGGTTAATACAATAAGGCTCATCTCTAATTCTTTTTCCATTTCCCTCCAAGAAAAAAAAAAAAAAAAACACCCTCTGGGATAATGACTGTGGTTTCTATATTCCCAACTCATCAGGGAGTGTCCTGCATTGAACCACCTTTATTGAAAAGTTACATCGATTCAATATATAGTAATACAGGCAAAAATAATTACAGCTTTGCTAGCAGTGTAAGACCTTAATCCAAACCTCACAAACATTCAATAAAAAGCGATACAGGCTGGGAATAGGCTTTTGACAGTGCAGCCCCAAAGGGGAGTGGAGGTGGGGTGGAAATGGACA